ATAGATAGATAGATAGATAGATAGATAGATAGATAGATAGATAGATAGATAGATAGATAGATAGATAGATAGATAGTTTAATGATCTAGCAGCTCATATAGTGTGATAATAATTTACATTTACTCATACCGATATGCTATGGTTGCATATATGTATGACAGTAATAAATATACAGCAGCAATAGCCCTTAGATATAGATACCACTTCATAGTGCTTTACAGCCCTCTCTAAGTAGTAAATAATCAGCATATTGTCTCCAACAAACTGGCTCCTCATTTTACCAACCTCGGAAGGATGGAAGGTTGAGTCAACCTTGAGCCGGGCAGGATCAAAATGTCAGCAGTTAGCAGAATTAGTCTGCAATACTGCATTTTAATCACTGCACCGCTACAGTGTATAGTACGTTCTTACAGTTTAAATCACGACATTATGATTTTATACCAACCTTAAAGTACAGCTAAATAAAAGAACTATCCTACTGTAAACTATTTTCTGATACAAATTAATAGTGAATAGTTATGAAAAATAGGAATAGAAAATAGTAAGTACAAAATTCAGCTGACACACTGTACTAAAATTGAGTTTTTAATCAAACTCTGAGATGTAAATACTATATAACTCATACAATTTATTTCTGTGACAGAAAAAAAGGAGTTGCAAAATGGCAATTTTGGTGGCACAAACATTGTTCTGTTTTCCTAAATGATTAAGTTCTAAAAAGGTGTATTTATCTGAGCTGTTTAAGGCTAGGAGACCTGGGCTGCAGGAGTCAACTCTAGACAACCATTAGATAAAACATAGAGATGAAAAACTCTACTCCCCCAAAGCAGTAATCTAATTTCACATACCTATTATGAGAAACCTCCCCTAAAACATTTCTGAAAATTGATTCTGCCCAATCTGCTCACTATACTACTATCCCTTGCATATCTGGCGCTGAGAATATTAATTTTAAAAAAGATCTCCTAGATTCCTCCAAATTTCACTACCTCTACATGAAATATTCCAAAACGGTGTCCCCACACACACATACACCAAGAAGTTGTAGAAAATCAGAAAAAGTAGACACAACATGCTTGGTAGGAAATCAAATTTGTTTTTGCATATTTTGTAGGGAAACCAATGGACTCCAGTGCCTATTCAATCATAGGGTAAGAAGGGAGGTCTTTTAGTCCAACCCATGGAGGTCTTTTAGTCCAACCCATGACCAAGGGAGGCGTCCTCAGAATGTCTTGGATAAATGATCACCT